AATTATTGTCGACTGTTGTTTGAGACTGAGCAAGAAAACTTCTATTCAATTTTTTCGATTCTTCCAGGTCTCAACATAATTTTTCTTTGTCTTTTCATCGCTAAATGGTAAAGAATAATCTCGCAAAAACACAATTAACCATTTGTTTAAGTTGGAAACATTATTATAGTTAGAAGATAATGTCAAAGTAGACAATACACATCAGCTATTTAACATTAAATAAGTACAGTCAGGGTTAAAAGAACAGCAACACTTTAATTATTTCTTAAAATGGCAGTATTTAATTGATATGAAGTATTTTATACGAATTTGTATACAAAGAATTCAAATTAATTGTTTTTAGTACATGGTATAAGAAAATAGTAGAAATACGTTTAACAGTTCGTAAATACAAAATTGCGTACTTAAAACTAAAGAAAAGGTATAATTGTCTTAGAGAATTTGTGAGCCTTTTTATGACTTAATTTACTAATGAGTTTTTATTGCTTGCCTAATAGTTTTTATTTATATCTCTCACTTATGTTAACAGCTAACGTGCGTTAACAGTCTTAAATACAGATGATACATTTTACGTTTTAATTTAGTTATTTCATTATCTGTGACATTTTAAATAAATACAAATATTTCGATCACAACAACACTGTTGAAGTTACACTCCAAGATTAATTCATGTCATCTAAATAATTTTATATTGTGATTTGAAAGTGTTGCAATAAAAACCCACTTGTAAATAATGCATTATACTTTGGAACAACGTTTGCATAGCTATATAGTATCAATTATATACAAATTGGGTAATGCCACTAACAATTGACGATAAATTGTTTATCTAAACGTAATTATATACTTCGTATTATATAATACTGCACCGTAGTTTACTAAAAACATTGGTAATAACACCTTTTGGTTCTCTTTAAGGGACTGAGCAAGAAGGTAAGCCAGTTACGTCTTCCTTCATGGTTCATATTTTAAGCTATTTTTTTTTAAAATAACAAAATGAATCTATTAAATTTTTACTATAACCCAATCCACGAGAGGGCTCAATAACAATTTTTTATGCAACTGCATACTTATTTACATAGTTTTTTTTTTAATGTATAAGCGAATCGTATTGCTTTTTAATTTTCATCAGAAATGATTTTCCTACATTACTTTAATATGTCCAATATACATACACTTTTAATTACTTATAAATATATTTTTTATTCATTTATTTATTTTATTACCTAAGTAAGTGATGAAAAATATAAAACAAACAAATCAGCACTCGATTTTGTAGCACGACTGTACTTTGATCTTTTTTTTAATCTTTTGGCAATTCTCGCTAAATATTTTTTTATACTAAATTTTTATTCGATTAACTTATCAATTTTGTGCTTTATCATATTTTATAGGAGCCAAGCGTAGCGTAAAGTGCTCGATAATGACAATAATAATAATTGTAATTTCATAATAATATATATTTACAATATTTGTATAATATAGTACAAAACATTTTTTTCTAAATATTTTGTTTGCTACTTACATAATCAATTCGAGGGCTATCTTTGAAATAATTTACATTTTTTTATAAATATTCAATATTAACCGTAAGGTCAGCGGTGCTCCACGACTAGATCTATCGTGCTTACAATTAGCTTTCTTTCACACTCGCTTGTAATTCTATCTTATTCATATCACTCTAAGACTCAATTTACACTACCCTGAAATGGAATTAAAGCGACTTTTTGCAATGAAATTGTACAAAGCATAATGAACTTTATATATAGAGAGAAAAAAGAACATTATCACATAAATCACACAAATAAATGAACACCGTACGAAGTGCAGTACTGCAATACTAGAAGGATTCACATTACACGAATAAGTATAAATATGAGCTGAATTGAACGCGCGTTTTCCGTGTAATCCGCGCGCATTTTCGTGTATTCTCTAATTTGTGTATTTTAATGCTAATATAAATAAAGTTCACTATGACACGTATAGTTCCGTCGCTTACATTCCGTTCCGCGGCAATAAAATTGAGCCTAAACAAAATTGGATCGAGTTGTCTCAAGTTTTTCAAGAAAATGTCAAGTGGTCCTTAGGAAAAAAATAGAAGAAAAAGTATTGAAGCGAAAAGGAGTATGTAAGGGTCCTTTAACACGAGTCACGCAGAAAATTTTGTTATGATCGAACGGAACTGCGTTGCGCGTGAAATGATTCGTTATGTCGATCATAGCCGATTTTGACCGGAATACTTTATAATTTAACTTCAGGGTCGAACGCTAAATGTTCAACGGTCGAAATGTTTTAAGAACTTAAGGTTATGTAGAAGTCTTGGTTAGCAGTTGATTAATTTTATTAATGAAAAGAAATGAAGGGGAAATATAACCTACTTTCTATTGTAATAGGGAGAAAAAAAACTTCAAGTAAGATACCTGAGATACAATATGGCGTCTTAAAATGTCCATTAGAAAGCGTATTTTTCAAATATTGAATTTGAAGACGCTTTTGGATTATATCTTGTAGAGAAAAATCCACTTTATGATGATGACATAAGTTCCAAATTTGGATCTTAAATTTTAAGACGTTACGTTTACACATAGTTTTATTTTAAAGGTTTCAATAAATTTATTTTTAAATTAATTAGGTTGTAAGTCTTACTCGCGTTACTGCTCGCATAGTTTCAAGATATAAATTGAAATTCAAATCACTTTAATGTATCTATAGTGTGTACAGGGTGGTTTACACTGGGGCATACTGGATATACTGGGCCCGTAATCTGAGGGCCAAGCACGAATAACTATCGCATTCGTATCGTAATAGTATCGAGCGAGTTAGCGTTCTGATTGGTTGGTTCACTTGAGCCGGCCAATCAGAGCGCCGAACGCACTCGATACTATTACGTTACGAATGCGATAGTTATTCGTGCTTGGCCCTCAGGACATACAACGTTCTCGTCACGCCTGTTGCTAACGCTACGTCTTGCGTGAGCCATCTAGAAACGAACGCGATTATGAAGTTATGAACATCGGTGACACGCGACTTCAATACGATGCGGTGCGACGCGGCGTTTATGTCCTACGTGCATTCGAATCATTCCATTTCGTCTTTTTTTTTTTCGAGCAAATCAAAACATGACAGCATTGCATTGAATTTGCGGTGTCATCGCTTCATAATCGACTTCGCTTCTCGATTGCTCACGCGGGACGTAACGTTAGGCCTGCAACCTAATTAATATAATATTGTCTCACAAGAATGTCTGTTTATAAACAAAACAAATAATAATTAGGACTCATTTGATTACAATTTTCTTCATAGTTATATTGATACAATTCTGCATTCAAAATATTTTTTTATTTCAAGATAGAATTACATACATCTGATATTAAAACTAATTCAATTTTCTGTTTGTCACTTCACAACTTGACTGTCCTTGCCTTTAATAAGTTCATTTTGAATTTCACTAGAAAGCGTTCATTTGATTCTGAATGTCAGACGGATTCGATTCATTCATTCGAATTTCAATTTGTAAGATGTTTTTTTTTTCGTTGGAGTTTTATGAATTTGCACACAAAATGTAACCGTTGCTTTGGTTTTCGTTTGAAATTGGAACGTTTAGAGTTTTTTTTTAAGTGTGGATTATTATGGCTTTGAATTTATTTCTTTTTTAAATTCGAATTGTTAGTGTTGTGTTTATCTGTGTAAAAATTCAGTGCATTCAGTTTTTTGCCTTGATTTGTTAGTGTTCAATGAGATACAAAGCCGACTATCTTGTTGGTGGAATGGTCGAAACGGAAATTGTTGAATAAGAGGTCTCGCGTTCGATTCTCGGATTGGACAAAGCATTTTCGAAATTTCATCAGTAATAACATTGATTCTGCAATCTATAAAAATCTTTTACCCAGGGTACGGCAAAAGTCTAACCCTATATTACAAAAATGGTAAAAAGTGGATGTTACATTGGAATATGCACTTCTTCTTTCTTGCCTAAAGTGAATGTTACTCTAAAACCTCTACCCATACCTTTTTGGAATAACAAACCTTATGAAACCCCTCCCAGCCTCATGTAGCACTTACTCGTATGTCTACCCAGCGAGGCAGTTAATATCAACCTTAATAATTAATGATTAAAGTTTCGGTTCACTCTCGCTCCGAAATCGATCAATATTATATATGTACGCACTATGTGAGTATGTATATTAGAAGATATTGTTCGACTATTTTATTGCCCATTAGTTTCAGGCTCTTTGTTTTTAAAAATAGAGGTGTAAAATCATAATGTGGGAGAGCCATGCTTCAGTACGATTGGGCCGGTTCGACAAGGCTTTATAAAAAACCGACGTGAAACAACGCTTGCGTTTCGTTTCGTCCGAGGTTTTCTGGTCTCCTACCAGAAAACCGGATTTGTAATTCCAGAATCCATATTATTACAAAACATTTTAGAAAATCTATAATCCAAATGTTTTCTTTTATTCATTTATTCATTCTTTCACTATTTAATGGGCATTGTATTGCACTCTGGACTTTTTAAGGGGGGAAAATCATCGAATGACTGCTCCCGCCTGGGTGAGGCGGGAGGGAGTGTCAGACTTTACTGACTAACAATCACCCCGTTCCTTCTCCTGCACGTCGAGCCAGAGCCCCGATAACCCGTTAGGTTCTCCGCAACATTGCATATTTGAGTATTGAGGCAATCAAAATCGATATCGATTCTAGCATAGAAGGTGTGTGCCCAAATATTATTATACTCGATAACATTCGACTAGTCCAACCGGTCATTTCACAATACTGCGTTAAATTTTCAATAGAAACATGATGAAAATCGAGGCATTTTGGCGTATCGTGCATATTTGAGTAGTTTCCGTTAAGGTACTGTATGTTTATGCTTCTTGAATGTTTTAAGTAAAGGTATATTGTGTTTAGGGATACGGTACGGTAAAATTGGGTGAATGGGGATCGAGAGGTGAATAGGGACAGAAGAGGGGAGAATCGATACTATGAAGAATTTCCCACAATCTATTCACCCCTCTTCTGTCCCTATTCACCCCATTTTACGGTACCTATATATTGTTAGATAATGACAGTTGGAGCTTTGATTATCGATAGAGAGCTCCACTGTAGATTAGAGTTATTTCAATGGAATTATTGAAAAGTTAAAAAATTATTTTTATGTTTATTTCTAAACCAAATGAATAACAGGGTTGAAGTTAATTAGATAAATCTAGATAACTTGTTGTAAAATCTAAAACAAGACTTTAACAATTGTCAGGGGCACCAACTTGCAACTAAAACAAGGATCTTCATCTGAATAAAAACATGATCCCCCTTTGTTCGGCATCGAGTAGTTATAAATAGAAAATTGTACAGATTGATTCAAAAGACTCGATTTTGTGTGCAAAATAAAAAAACAAACTCACATCGCAATTTTTCAACTAACCCGCCATTGAAATTTGAAATCGCAACCGCCATTCAGAATCGAAGACCGTTAAATTCAAATATTCAAATGATTGTGTTCTAAACTGCAATCATTGGTTCAATCGGAGCATGTTTTGCAGCATTGCTCCTTGTACCGCTTGAGGGCACACATGTTCATCGCTCGGACGTTTTCGCAGAAACGGGAGCTGTCCCGACATATGCCATCTGTGGAGGTAATACATTGTTAGTGACGAAGTATAAGTGTGGGAGAGCCATGCTTCGGCACGAATGAGCTGGTTCGACCGGAGTGATACCACGGCCGAGCAGAAAACCGACGTGAAACAACGCTTGCATTGTATTTCGTCCTGTAAGTGAGGTTACCGAAGGCCCAATTACCCCCTCCCTAGTCTCCCGAACCCCCGAATCCTCCACAATCCTCAAATTCCCAATTCCCAAAAGCCCGGTAACGCACTTGTAACGCCTTGGTGTTTTGGGTATTCATGGGCGGCGCTGATTGCTTACCATCAGGTGATCCGTCTGCTCGTTTACCGGCTTATGCTATAAGTAAAGGTGCTTTGTTTTCTGATCGATTGGGTTGTTTGAGTATAATGCAGTTTTTCAGAGAGGAGTGGAGATAAACTGCATTTGATATTGTCACTTTTAAGATATTGTAATACCTCACTTATTAAATGATGGAAAATAATGATTTTGTGAACCTTGTATTTTTATTTAGCTTGATATTTTAATTAGGTTGCATTAAACACACACAAAAACGGTTACTGATAATTAGTTCAAAGATAAATAAACGCAATGCGAAAGTTTAATCAGTAGAATTCAAATTGACGTGGATAAGGTCCTAAGTACTGAAAATAATACAATTGAAAATTTAAAAAAGCAAGACTTACTTATCATAAAAATACTAATCATAAAAAAGTAATCATTTTAAATGAATACCTTTATTAACACAGGCATGTACATGGCAAGGCCTAGTGACCCCCGGGCGGGGTAGTCCCCCGCAGGCGGCGCCCGCGCTCCTCTCCCTCCCCCGGCGGCGGGCGCCCGCGGCGCGCCACACGCAGCGGAGCGCGCGGTGCTGGCTGCCGGCGGAGGAACACGCGCCTACACACTGAGGAACGATTTGAGAATTAGGTGAGAGTTGAGGAGGAATGTGGATACAAGTACTAGAATATCATTATTTTTCATTTATTGTAAATTTTCTTTGATAATTAATTAGAAAATTGATTTTTCATTAAAAATAAATGTTATCAACGGGCGCCAACCACAAAGAAGCAATTCCTTTATAGATGGGGCGTCTCGAAAATACTAATTTGATAGAGCTTCATAAAATGAACGCATAAAGCGATGTTATTGCTGAATTTTATGTATTTAGTACTAGCACTAAAGTACTGCGGACGGATTCTGATTTCAGGATGACTATACCATTTTACGAGTTGGTTCTAATATGAGGATTTCATACGAATTGTATAGATACATTAAGAATTGAAGTCATCTACAGAATTTACTAAAATAACCAGGTTACTCACGTGAATATACTGAGAAATGGTCTACTAGTTTCGAGTCTCAGAGGGGCTCTTCCTCGGTCTACTAGTTTTACATTAGTGCTTGCGATGCAAATTGTATTGTGTTTCAACGTAGGCACCAGTCAGTAGGCTGTGCGACATCACTGCGATCGCGACCACTGCTCATTAGGAAGCGTCCCTCTGTGTTGTGACTCGAAACTACCTATTAGACCTTTTCTCGAAACGAGTATCCCGTCATTTTTATGTTAATTCAGTACGTTCTACAATAGGTATTATATCTTCAATACATTGCAGGTATGTTGTTTTACAAACTTCTAATTCAGAAGTAAAAACATTGAGACCAGTTCCAATAAACAATTTGATGCGACCCATTGCAAGTATTGTTAAATATTTATAGCTTAGTTTAGACTAAATAAGGTAATTGAAATTAAAACCTATGACAAAAACTGCTGAAGGAGGAATTCAGTAGAAAAAATATTTGTTATTCCTAAGGGAACAGTAGTTATTAGCGGTTGAGGACCCTACATAAACCCAACTGTTTTTTCTAATAATGAGGTCTTTATAGATAGTAAATGAGACAAAATATGGTCTTATTGTTCTTCTCACCTTACTCCAAGGCCCAACAGACCAGGTGGCCTTACACAGGCTGGTATCCCTCTTTATCTTCTCCGGTCTACTGACGGAGTCACACGCGCTCTCCTGCAGTGTAGTGCCGTTCACCGCCACGCATTCCACGCGTCGCCGAATTATGGCTAGAGAAAATATTTGTTGATATAAATGTATATGAAATATGACGTATATTTTGGGGGATTAGGTGAAAGTGTGCGTGGAACGTGGAAGAATTTCAATAATTTATTAAGGTATTAGAATTTTTTAGAATAGTAACAATGCTTAGTCTAAAATTACGCCTGATCTGCAGCAACAGACAAAAACTCTTTACAAAGTAGATTATTTTTTTAAAGTAAAAAGAAAGATTAACGTTTGCATCGCTTGTTGTATATTTAGAAGGCTAATCAATTGTTTAGGAAATTATAGAATAACCGTAATTAGAAACTAAATTAGGCATAATATTCTGATAGGTTTAAGTATGACTGCTTCGTTAGCCGAGTGGTCACAAGTGCGACTGCCGGGCAAGGGGTCTTCGATTCCCAGGTCAGGCAAATAATTACTAAGTTTTTAAAAAAAAATCTCACTAGTAGCACGGCGTCTAGAATTGTGCCCGGTATATGGCAATAGACTCACCCTCTATTACATGGGACTCATAACATAAATAGTGAAAAGTAGATGTTACATTGTACAATGGCATTAAGTGTCGTATTGTGCACCTCTGCCTATCCCTCCGGGGATAAGAGGCGCGATTTTGTGTAAACTAAGTTTGGCACAATAGGTATATTAGGTTTAATTATTACACAAGAGGCCGTTTCAGACTTAGTAATACTTTGTTCTAAAAATAAATTGTTCCGATTTATTTCCAAATTTGGTGGCGGAATTTATCCCTGAAGGAAATAAGGTACGTGCTTAGGGCTTCAGTGGGCCACGTGTCTAAGTTTTTAAATAAATCTTGGGTAAAACCTTTTTTGTGTAAGGCAGGGAAATGCCATATGCCAAGGACTGAAAAATGGTACTGAATTCAGGACAATCTTGACATGAAATCTGCCTCTAAGTTTAACGGACCAAAAAGCAACAGTTTAATTTTTTTGTTTAATATAAGTACTCAAAAAAAGGTGAGGTAAATATAAGAATATTATAATTGGCAAATATTTCATTTACTTTCACGATTACCATAACATAAAGTGCGTAATATAATCTCCTAAAAAACCAATACAGAAAGGATTTGCTCATTTTAATTATTTTATTTATTTAAATCGGAGCCTAAACTTCAAACTAAAGAAAATAATTTTGAAAACGGTCAAATAAAAAAGAATTTCGGTTAAAATTTGTTTATATATAAAACAGACACGTTTTCATTTTAACCATCTGCTGGTTTCTTCCTCGGTCTTTTTTAGTCTACTCTTCGTCTATTCACTCCCTATAATATACGTAACAAGTAGACCACTCACCAGCTCCACTGCTAAGACACTTGGGCGCGGACCAGGGCGCAGTCCTCCACTCCGCACACGTCTCCCCGACACATTCTCTAACCACTGTCGGTGGGGTTCCACCTCGGGACAGACATTCTTCTGTCTCCACTGTCGTGGTGCTGTTGTCTTTTTTGTGCTGTTTTGGGAGTTGAGAACAGTAAGATTGAATGATAGTATTTCTACTTGTTTAAAGATATGAATGAATTTTAAAAGTTGATGGGCAACCTTCAGGTATGATATGGCATCACGAGAAGAATAACTGAAGTGATTAGATGTTATGGCTCAAAAAATTTAAAAAAGTATTTTTAAATAACGACTTCAATTTACGTCGTTGTCGTCGTCAATACAGCTAATGCTTTTAGCAAAATGTTGAATAGAGATAAAAAATGTGTTTTATAACTTCTAAGTTTCCTGGTCTGTATAATACCGATAAACAATAACAACCCATCAAAAAAAAAAAAATACCGAATCTATAGTCTATTATTGATACATAGTATACTCTCACACAATTGTTAGAAATCACTATTAACAGTTTGACTGCCGACAGAAAACTGTTGAAGGTAAATCCTCCGCTATGGTGGCCCATACCTTGTCCCCTATGTCATTCAAGGTGTTAAAATTTAAACCTTTGACCTTGCAATACAATCCCGACTAAAAACATTACGCCATCTTAATTCTACAAAAATGCAACACAAACCTGGCAAACAGCTCCTCTGATCTGATGACCAGTCTGGCTGCAGAGGGCACTGCACGGAGACCAGTCGGTAGTCATCCAGACGTACTCGTGGGCGTCTGGAGCTTCCAACCTAGGAGAACGCATTATAATAACGTCAGAGAGCATCTACTAACTTGGTGTGCCAAGAAGGTCCAATTATTCATTATTAAGGGACAATCAACAAAGTATACACTATCAAATATATGATTGGCTTAAAAATTATAACATTGTATAGTGTGCAGCCTTAATTAAAGGCTGCCATGACATGCATTAAACAAAGAACACGGTTTTACAGCACAAAGTTCGCTTATCCAATTATTTAGTAAATTACGTTTTTAAGAACCGACTTCAACCCCCGCTTTTTTAAAGTCGGTTATCTAATATAATTATTATATTTTTATTATATTTATTAAATTTTTTGTTTTTTTAAAAAAAACGTTGCTCCACACTAGGATTTTTTCCTCTGTCGTGTGTGCGTTTTACAAACTATAAGTTCACATACACATGACATCCAGACCCGAAACAACAATCTGTGGATCACACAAAGAGTTGTTCCGTGCGGGAATCGAACCCGCAACACGTTGCGCGGCAGTAAGTTGCCCAACCACCGCGCCAACCGTGCAGTCAACCCTTCTCTTACACTTTTCTGAAAACCGAATCAAAATCGATTATTCCAATCGCGAGATAATCGCACACATACAAACATTGTGTGTATGTTTGTATGTGTGCAGTGTAGGTCAAATTGAGAACCAATTTCTTTTTAATTCGGTTAAAATAAGAAAATTTAAAATTAAGCACGAGCCGGATAAAAGACAATCTGATAGACCTACCTATGTTCCGTAGTAGTCTCTTCAGAAGAATCCTTAAGATTCTCAACAGGAACATCTCTTAGAACATTTCTGTTATAATCTTCATTGACAATAATGATGTCAGAATCATCGTCTTCCGGAAAAACCATCTGCTTGTCTTCCAAGTTGAAGAAATGGGACTTCGTTGGCACTCCATAGTTCTGATACATGATGATGGAGTCTACTGTCCTTTGACCCCTGGAGTTTCCAAGGCCCTGGAAATTCCAAAACATCTGAACATATCAATTATACATGCCCTAAATAAACTAGTTCAGAATTAGAGTAAAAATTGTGAACTTTTTGTGGAAGCAAAAAATCTAATGAGTATAAAAATAGGTGTTTTATTCAAGTTAATACCGAAAATAACGAAAAAAATAATCAAAGCATTAAAAAATAATTGTATCAATTAGGTTTTTTTAAGGGCTAAGCCGTTAAACGAACACACATATCACTTGATGGTAAGCAATCGCCGTCGCCCAAACAACACACCAAAGGTTACCGGTGCGTGTTACAAGTGCGTAATCCGACTTTTTGGGATTAGGAATTTAAGAAATGTTGGAGATTCAAGGATTGGATATATTAAAAAAATGCTCCTAAGTTCAAGAACCTAAAAAACTTAAATAAAAATAATAAATTACCACTAAGTTAGCTAAGTTATAACCAAGACATTAAATGCAGAAATATCTAATGTACTAGTTCTTTTACTAGGCGAAAGTTATTGGCAACCAAATGACCCTGTATGACTGTCACATTGTGCAGATGCAGATTTGAGAAAATAATTATGACATTTCAATAAAGATTAGTTACAGTCAACCAACTTATTTAATACGCAGTAAAGAAAATAATGATTGATTCAGTACAAAAACAGACACCATTGGTTGGCTACTGAACCGACCAATGGTTACACAAGATGTGGCTTGGTTAAAAATTTTATGTAATAATAGCTACTATACCCTGTGCTATCATCATCTTCATCATCAACAGCATTAAAGTGCTCAATGCTGAACAAAGCCTCGTCTCACACGGAGAAGGTTTGAGCATTAATCAACACGCTTGCTCAATGCGGGTTGGCAATTACAGACTTATAATTAGAAATTACAAGCCAAGGTTTCCTCACGATGTTTTCCTTCACCGTTTGTTATTGGTATCTAAATAGTCTTTGAAAGTACTTATAACTCGGAAAAAGTGACATTGGTACTTGCAGTTGGTAGGTTTCGAAACCGCACCCTCATACATGAGAAGCGAGCGGGCTTTCTGTGCTAAGTCAGTCTTTATTGTCTAGCCTGAATACTAAATAACTTGGTTGATTGATACATAATATCGTATAGTCATTTGGTTGCTAACACCTCTCAATTCTTTTCGTAATTCGTCTAGCAGTCGACCTGTAAATATTATTACGTTCGACTAAAAAAATGAACTCAAATCACCAGAAAAATGAAATATGAAACCAACATGCAACTCATGCTACCAGTCCCATCTACCCTCTGTACTGGGAACTTCTCACCTGGAGTTGCATAACAATGTAATGCAGGCAGGGAAGTACCCTAGATGCACTGCTCCGTTTGGGGGGAAGCATCTGCGAGGAGACGGCACTCTTCTTCAATACATAGTCCAAGCGGCGTGCGAGCAAGTTTTGTTAGGTTAAGCTTCTGTATTTGGGTTGATAAATTGTCTTTGATTGGGCGAATTTTTCCTTTATGAAGTCGAGTATATTTTTGGCTATTGGCGAGAAACATCGCCATAGGGTTTAGGTAAAATAGAAGATATTTTTTCACATTCTTTTCCTTGATGTTGCAGGAACGAATTAAGGGATTTCAAGGCTTTTTTTGTATTTTTAGCTCACACTGTCAACTGTAATTATGCTTAGAACAGTAGCGTTCCCTGATAAACCTGATATTTAACCGCAATCTCCAACTGCTAAAACCGGAGATGACAAAAACCATCCTCTATGGAGAATGCCTATATTTGGTGGCCTATTGATCAATGAAACTGTTTTTTATGGAATATTTTTCTTTATGACTGACTTGATTATGTTGATAGTTTTTTTGGCTTGGAGTATAGCCAATTGTATTCATGAGTTCAAGTTTTGCACTTGGTGATGCGTGTAAATTTGATTTATTCAATAGTCAACTTTTAGGGACGCCTTCGTTTGAAAAAAAAAATTGAGAATTTCTCAGATTCAGATTCTCAATGTTTTTTGCTTGTGTTATTTTAAGCTACGGAAATCATGTTTTTAAATTTGTAGCTTTGGAATATTACTTTTCTAAAAGACAAGAGACAATATCTTTCCCCACTCAAAGATTATCAGAAAACAAAACGACAGAGAGCCACTAAAATTATGATTGACATAATAATACCACCCTAAAGATTCAGTTTCGAACAACTAATACTAAACCTAATGGCTCAGGTAACAAAGTGCTTTATACAAAAGCAATGAAACATGATTATGACAAATTTATGCGCACGATAAGTGAGTCTTTGCAACAACATCATCTAGATGTAGCCATTTTATGTCCGACATAAAATCGGTTGTAAATTTTATTACTGTCATTATCCTGCTGAGTATAAGTGCTGGGTGATCGGTTCCTGATTATAAATTAGTGGATTTTGGGCTATGTGTAGTTAGGCTTGGTTTTACTTGATCTTTGATAGAAGGAAAGTCTTTTTTATGACCTAGTGGCTTTGGTCGATTTTCAAATGTACAGGGAATGTATACTTCTCATACTTTGGTATTGTTTTCCAATTGTTAAATGCCAGTTTTTGGTTTGCTTTTTAGATATACATGCATGTTCAATTTGGAACTTTGTTCTGTAGTCTTTACGGTGGATATTTTTCTACCGGGTTTATAAATCCTCAAATATTTGTATCATTTTATGCGACTACAAAATAAGGAGGAAGTTTCTCATAACTGGGCAATACTGGTTAATTAAATTTATAATTTAATGTATTCTGTCATGTTTATAGGCGATATTATTCGATAATATATAATATTATATCGATCGAATATTTTGATAGAATCTTCATAAATCAAAAAGTATACGGTGTTTAAATCAAGGTATGTTTCTACCTAAATATTCACCGCATAACAAAGGTTTCAGACGATTTATCAACACATTATTACAGTACATGAATTATACAATAACATAACATTTAATTTATATTTTAAAAGTATACAATAATGCCCTTACCTCATGGTCGTCATACATATCTCGCTCTCGTTCTTGAGAATTAAAGCTGGGCGATGCTTTCGTACTTGTTGTAGCTGTGTTCCCGTACAGAGCGTCGCGGACTTTGTCTATTTTTCCTATAGAATAAATGTAATTATTATGTGTTGTATAAATAAAATGAAATACAATACAATGATAATGTTGCACAAATTATACTTTTGATTTTCGGTAGATGTAAGTCCTAGAAATCAAATTTTTTTTGAGGTACGAATTATAATTTTTTAGATAATCACAATGTAGGTACACACGGCCACATATCAATCTATACAAAACCAGTGTATCCTGGAGTCGCGTCGCATCATCTTTCCGCACATTTAACGTTCAGTTTATACTGGTTATGTAAAGCTCGATGTGTAGCCGTGTGTACTGCATAATCGTAGTATTGTGATTTTGACTATACACCAGTCACCACTCACTTCAAATGATTTCGGTTTTTGGGAAAGTCATGTTTTGTAAAATCAGTATCCCCCATTTAAATAACAGTCATTCAGATTCACACAGAAAATCAGCTAAACACAGTTAGGAGGAAAATTAAAAACGTTTTGCACCCAAATTAACAAGTCACGAATTAAGAAATAAATAGACAATTTTAAAACGAAGGAGCTTCAAAAATCCAAAGTGTACTGACGAAGAAATTAAGAGGTAAAATTTTGAAATTTATCTAGTGTTTGCAGTGCACTCGTCTACCAACAGTCGGATCTTCATTAATTTGCCGTAACATTCGTAATTTACCTTAAATTCTGCAGTGTTTTAGCGAAAAATATTGTATTTTTGCTTGAATGCTTAGGACTTATTTTATTTTTTGAGGGTGGAAAATCAGCCAAGGACTTCTCCCAACTTGAATGAGGCGAGAGGGAGTGTCAGACTCTTACTGACTAAAAACCACCTCGTTCCTACTCCTGCATTTCGAATCGGAGCCCCGGCAACCAGTCAAGTCCTCCGCGGCTCCGTATCGGCATCGGCCCTATTGGGCTCCATCCGTGGTGGTCTGATGGCTCTTTGAGGCGCGCGCGGAACGCGACGCGCCGTGCGCTCGGGATTGCTTAGTCACTTGACTTTTTGATTCCTTGCCGTTACTCATAATTTTCAAAATAAAATTGCAATAGGGTCTTTAATATTTTCGACTCGGGGATTCTTAAATCGAGATTGATCTAAGTTAGACAGTTTAGCGTCGACACTGTGATTAATCATTACTTATTTGTTTGTATAGGTACAAGTACAATACGTGATGTCTATGACTAGTGAATCTGTAAAACTGAACAATTCTTCTGAAGTTTTAATATCATGTGGATATAGGAAACTTACCTTTCTGCCTATTCTTATAATTCTTCCTGGAGTCCCCCGGCCGTTGTTCATGTGACTGGTCATCCGAGGTGCCTCCGATCATGGCTCGGTAGCGCCCGTCCGCCCTGCTGTTGTTATTCGATAATTATGCAAATTGTACCAATTTTTATGGGATAGAGACTAATTTTGTATGAAGCGAGAAGATTAAAGAAAGTATATTTTAGGAGAACCTCCATATAATATTAAAAATTTGAAAGTTTGTACTTCGTTTGTTTCTCCTTCACGTCAAAACGGCTGTAGGGATCAAGATGCGTACAATAATGGATAATGTACGGGATCTGAATCCCCGAAAGGATAGGCAGAGGTGCACATTATGCCACTAAATGCCAATGTAACACACACTTTTTACCATTTGGAGTCTGGAAATGTGCCCGGTATATAGCAATAGGCTCACCCCCTATTACATGGGACTCATAACATAAATAGTAAAAAGTGGGTGTTACATTGTACAGTGGAATTAAGTGCCGTAATGTGCACCTTTGACTACCCTTTCGGGGATAAAAGGCGTAATGTTATGTGTGTTTAAACTATCATCTTCTAAACCTTACCTATCAGATAATGGAGAGGATGGTTCATCCAACGCCTTGTGCCTCTCGATCTCCTCGCTGGATGGAAACTCTCCAGGTCTTGGCTTCACCAGCAGTGTCAGGTTGGCACTGGACCTGCCAGCTACGCAGGTGTATACTCCATGGTCACGGAGCGAAAGAGAGTTGATTCGAAGAGCACCCTGGGTAGAAAAAGAAAAAGTTAAATAAAATAAACATTAACTAAAATCACGGGTTATTCACGTGAATATACTGAGAAAAGCTCTACTAGTTTCGAACCACAGAAACGTTCTTCCTCATGAGCAGCGTGCGCGGTCGCGGCGACGTCGCGCAGCCTACTCGCGATTTTTAATTAATTTAATGTGTCTCACTATAGTTATTATAAATAAACATGTGTATTTGGTGCTATTTTTTATCAGGTTATTTTTTTTATAATTACTATATTATACTCTTATGGCTTTATAGAGTCAGTCATTGAACGCCATAGGGAACCACACAAGAGCCACACTAGTAGACAATTTGCGTCAATATGAATATACATACGATGCATATACAAAGATAACACTTTTTTACAATTTTTGACTGTCTGTCTATTTGTTTGTACTGTTTATTCTCTGAAATGACTAGACAGATTTTGACGGGACTTTTATTGGCATGTAGCTAATGTACTAAGGAGTAACATAGGCTAGTTTTATTATAGAAAACCGCTGACGAAGCCGCGGGTTCGGTTAGTTTAAAAATATAAAGTAACTGGATATTATCAATTTTTGTCATAACGAATTTTCAAATTTCACAATTTAATACCCTACTCTAAATGAAATAGAGTTTTAATCTCTCAACACCGACGTACAATTACATAATTATACTAACAAATACCCACACATACATACCTTTCTAGAAATCTTATATTTCTTCGACTTGCTAATGATCTGATGGTCCTTGGCCCACTGTATCTTGGTCCTATTGTACCCTTTGACTGGACATTTGATCTTGACTTGTGTCCCGTAGAATATTGTCGCCGATCCACCCACCTTTACTGTTACCTGGGTATCACAATAGGTTGTATTATTATGAGGTCTGTTGTAGTAATGCTAGATGTTTTTCTGTGAGATTTGGTGTGTCTTCAGAATATAGGGTATTAGCGATTTTGGTGCTACTATTTTTGAAGGGATAGGGGCATTTTTAACAGACTTCCCAATGAGATGGAGGTTATCAATTTGGCTGTAAATTATTAATTATTAAATTATTTGTATTGGAAAGATCTTCACATCTAGATGGGATGTAATTGTCATTATTGCCTGGGGTTGTGGCACCGACTTCTCACCTATCAGTGGGTGGGTTACCTATAAGTACGTATGACTAATAATATTTATTTTTTGCTTTTTAGTTTTTTCGTATAATTTGTTAATTTTGTTGTTACGGATATTGTCTCCTGTATCACAAATTTTATAGCTAAAATGAAGAGGGTTTTCAATTGTATGCAGTAGATGAAGTTAGTAAGGCGTATACAACCAGTTTAACATTAGTTAGACTTGATATTATCAAATATTCCAGTGGTTATTAGATCATAGCTATTCTATCGGTTCTTAGTAATGCGATAACCCTCGATGAACATGCATCTATTGTCTATTAAATACGGAGAAAATTTTAAGTGTGGGAGAGCCACGCTTCGGCACGAATGATTCACGACCGGAGTGATATCACGGCCTCATAGAAAACCGACGTGAAACAACGCTTGCGTTGTATTTCGTCGTATGAGTGAGGTTACCGGAGGGCCAATTACCCCTCTCCTCAGTCTCCCCAATCCCCGAATGCCCCAAAATCCTCAAATTCCCAATTCCCAAAAGACCGGTGACGCACATGTAACGTCTCTGGTGTTTTATGTACCAATGGGTGTCGCCGATTGCTTACCATCATGGTGATACGTAGCCTAGTTTACCAGTTTATCCCATAAAAAAAAGTTTTATTTGTGTGAAATAATATTTTTACGGCCACAATAGACTTACCTTCTTTTTCTTAGGATCGTGTTGTATGTAAGAGGAATTGGCGAGCGATATCTCTGGGGATGCAGTGTCCAGGAGACAGGGTCTGGAGTTGCAGGACTTGGTGGCAGCTGGGCGCGGGGAGCTGCAGAGTGACGCTGGACGTTCCACCACGTGGGACTGGGCCATTATTTGTTTACACTCCACCTGGGTTTAGAGAGAAGTTTTAAAGACATTGAATTGATCAATAGGAATACAAATTGGTACCTACATCAAGTAAATACGAGTTAACATTAAAAGAACGTGGCCTGCTACTAATATGTATTTTCTCCTTGTATGAGGCATCTGTGATGTGACTTTAAGACAGTATATGATTTCGTACGCACTGGTGTGCATGCGCGCACCAGGAACAACAATGTAACTGCAGATCACACAAACAATTCTTCCGTGCGAGAATCAAAGTAATTTTTACATGACTCAATAAGCCATTCATATAATCAAACAAGCCATAAAATCGACTCAAAATGTTTCTCATTACGATCTAATTTCCCACGTCACTTACATCTCTCTGCTTTAACCCTCCGCCGCAAGTCTTGGAGCATTTGGACCACTCGCCGGTGTGCCACCGGACGGGGCAGTCCAGCACGTTGCAGTACTGGCGGTCCGGCGGCGGCGGCTGGGGACACATGCTGTTCGGGACCACTACGGTGTTTGTACCACCGCGGGTCACCTGGTTGTTGGACAAAAATGTTAGTAACACGAAACACAAAAATACTAGTGTCAAAACGATACATACATTCGTTTTTTTGTAACTTAATAAGGACTTATTTACTGTATTTAATACGTTGTTTGGTATTTCTAAAGATAAACGGGTCCATATAAAAGACTAAAATCTTTTTTTATCAGCCTGTTGTCAGAAGCGCGGAGACATTGACACTGAGAATTAATTAGGATCTGGTGAATTGAATATCTGTAAATATACAAGTACTTTTTTGCATTCAAATATTTTTGGCGTATGAACTCGCAAAAAAAAATATAAGCCTCAACGAACCGCTATTTTACAAACATCTGGGACTAGTCTTTTTCCGTGAACTTACTTTTACATATACAAGACAGGCTGACAGATGTCTCATCCTACCAATCAAAACGCACCTCTAAAACACAGTACCAAACATAACAGACCTCACCTCATGTATACAAGTGACCTCTCTCGTCTGAATACCGATGCCACACGACTTCGTGCATTGTGAGAATTCCGTGTAGTTCCACCTACGACAAAGCACATAGAGGATTAGTAAGCTGACTGTAGTCCGGTTGCGTTGCTTTGTGTCGCTTTGTACCACCGTCCCTGCGTTGACGGGTTATGTATAGCGACTAGTATGTCGTAGTGCGATATTATATGTTATCTGATGCTAGGAGTAATTTTGGTGCATTGTGTGTTAAGATTTAATAACTTATTGTGTTATTGATGACACTTTTTAAATGACTTCAAAAAAAGGTTCTCAATTTGGCTGAACTGACTTTGATGTGGTTTTCCGAAAAGTGTTTCCACACAATGCAGGAGATGGTTAGAGACTAACTCTATAATATTTATTACTAGCGACCCGCCCCGGCTTCGCACGGGTGCAATATGTATGTATTATACATACAAACCTTCCTTAAGAATCACTCTATCTATTAAAAAAAACCGCATCAAAATCCGTTGCGTAGTTTTAAAGATCTAAGCATACATACGGACATACAGCGAAAGCGACTTTGTTTTATACTATGTATTGATTATAGAAATAGTATTAATTATAGATTATAGAGAATAGATAGTTTATTATAGATATAGTTTCTATAATACCTAGTTATTAATGAATAAACCGACTTCAAAAAAGAGGGGTTTGAAGTCGGTTTTTTTAATGCAGTTAAATAAAAAATATATTATCGTATATTGTTAATTTTATTGTGACGTTATAAGGTAGAAAGGAGAGTGAAGGACTTAGGAATATCCGATTTTAGAAGTTCTTTGGGACAGGTTAGAGTTTAGAATAGTGAGTCATGTTCTAGATGAAGTCACTCCGTCTTGACTGGTGACATAACTGGTGAAAAATCGCCTATAAATATGGAGTGTATAAGCTTTCACAATCCAAAATCTTTAGACAGATCATTTGGATATTAATTTTATAGAGTTTTTGTCAAAGATAAGCATCTATACTGAGATTTTCGCTTGAAATCGGTTATTGAAATTGGCAGTACCTAGAAAATTGATACCTTTTTGACTACTTTATACAGAATTAGTTTTATATTTAAGTACTTACATTTATTTCAACAAAAAATAAACTTAAATAACTTACGTATGAATAAATATATACAACTTAAAATACAAATAACAAAATATTTACACCTTAAAAAAAATGTTACCTTAGGCTTAAGGCATCAAAAAAAAAAAAATTCCTCATCGCTATCGTATCGATGTTTAAATTAGCTATTGAAACATTTTTATATACAATTTGATTCCAAACCATCATTAACAATAAGTTTATTTCTCACGTACCTGGGTGGACATGGATGGTCGTTACAAGTCCTTACTCTGTTCTCTGGTTTCGTCAGTGGGTCGCACATGTATGGGGACGCATTCTTGCCGTCTTCATCTCTTACACATTGAATGATTAGTTCCTGGGACAAATAAAGTAGATCAATAAAATTGTTGTATGTCGTGGTGACCCCGATGTCTAAGCCGCCCGCTTCTCATGCATAAGGGTGCGAATTCAAAACCAACCAATAGCAATGTTACTTTTTCCTAATTATATGTACTTTCTAAGATTTTACTTTTAAGACTGCCTCGTTGGCCGAGTGGTCGTAAGTGCGGTCTCGGGTTCGATTTCCGGGTCGGGCAAAGTATTACTGGGTTTTTAAATTATTCTCAGTAGTAGCACGGAGTCTGGAATTGTGCCCGGTATATAGCAATAGGTTCACCCTCTATTACATGGGACTCATAACATAAATAGTGAACATTGGGTTTTACATTGTACAATGGTATAATGTGCACCTCTGTCTACCCCTTCGGGGATAAAAGATGTTATGTTGTTTCTAAGATTATTTAGACATCACTGACAAATGGTGAAGGTGAACATCGTAGGGAAACCTGGGCTTACAATTTCTAATCATAAGTTTGAAATCGCCAACCCGCATTGAGCAAGGGCGGTAATAAATGCTCAAACCTTCTCCATGTGAGAAGAGACCTTTGGTCAGCAGTGGCCGCTTATAGGCTATTGATGTGATGTGAATAAAATTGTTAATATCATGCAAATAAGTGTAATAGTGACGTGATCATGCTATTTGATAATATTTTTTTTACAAAACCGTTTATGTGGTAAAAAAATTATTGTAAGATCACGTAATTATTATTATTAAAATAGTACTTGACCTTCAGGCTTTATCTAAAAGTCAATCACTGATTAGTAATGATAGCTAGATGTCATTACCTGTACTCCACTAAGACAAGATGCGCTGCAGCTCGTATAACCCTTTTCTTTCCAAGAGTATGACTTCCCTGGAGATCCTGGTGCCACCCTGATGTTACTTGAAGTCCCGAAGGTCAGTAGCCTGCTGTTAACAAACATTAATCCATTATTGATATTGAAGTTGGATTGTGTTGTTGTCAGTTGTAAGTAGGTACGACTGCTGAGGAAGGGGTCCTTGTTTCAATTTACTGTTTCGGTATAGTGAGAGGGTTTTTAGATATATACGATACGCCAATATATTGACTAATTTTGGCAATCATGTAGGATGGATTTAATGCAAGTGAAATTGGAACACATGATAAATTAATACATCCTTTCATAGATTTTAAAGGTTATTTAAAGGACATTTTTTGGGGAAAAACAGTACATTATGTACGTAGGTAATTACAATGTTAATTAAGAAAAAAATTCAGTAGCGCTTAGTAAATAATTTTCCTCATACAAGATTACGCACACATACACAGTAAAATTTATAAAAACACACGAAATGTATCGCGTAACGTAATCTCAAGAATTATTTACTTGTTGATAGATATCAGTTTATCAGAAGATACGGTATTTATCGCATGATTAATACACAATGAACATTCAGTGGTATCAGAACCAAGCAACAGTGTAGATATGTCGTTAGACGTTCATCTTGATGAACCAGATGACTTCAACTGTGTCGAACTTCACAGTTCTTTACAAACCGTTGCACTCGCCAAAGGCATACAAGATTTTGAATACCATGTAGATTGTATCAGTGGGAAAAGAGCTAACTACATAGCAAACGTGTTTCGTGTGGAAATCGCTGAAACTGATAGTGACGACAATAACATCAGTGTTATTATAAAAACTTTAGTGAACACAGAAAGACAAGTGCTATACCACAAGTTACATGAAAGAGAAGTCGTAGCCTACCACAAAGTCATAAGCAAGTTTAAAGATATACAAAATGTTTTATACGAACACGAACGGTTGGAACTGTCAGAATGTTTATATTCAAACACAGAAAACTCCAGGGAAATAATCATTTTGGAGGACTTAACAACAAAAGGATACGACGTAGATGGGAAATTGGCGAAATATGAAAATCTTGGAATCAAAGAAATCAGTGTGGTACTTGCGGAATTGGCGAAATTCCACGCTTTATCGTTTGTGTTTCAATGTAAAGAACCGATGGTATTCAAGGAAATTAGTACTGAGTTCCACGATCTGTTGTATCAAAACCATTTTCTGAATAAAACGAAATTGAGGGATTACTTCTTTGAGTCATTTGAAATGTCTTTGAAACTTGTGACCGATGAAGATGCGAAGGAAAAACTGGAGATTGTGAAAAGCAAACTTTTGCAGCTACTACAAATGTATGTGAAACCGAGGAAAACGAATGTATTTTGTCATGGGGACTGCTGGGTCAATAATATGTTGTTTAAGCACGAGGTGAGTTTCAACATTTGGATTATTAACGTATTAAACTGTCAAACACCGCGAGGACACCGGTGACCGCAACCTATTGTTCTTTAATTGTGTCTAAAATGACGGTACTCAACGAGTTAATACAGTTATTGTTGCCATTTTGTTTCTTTTCATAGATCTTGGTCTATAAAATGCTAAAAATTGAACAAAACTAAATTTTTTTAAAAATTTTATACATTTATTTTAAACATTATAAAAATAATACTGATTGAATATAGCAAACATTCAAAAGGATTTCATTGTTTGTACTGGTACCCGTATTAGTGAATTTGTTTTAAAACTTCACTATCTCAGTATCTAATTGGATTATTGGATTACAACGATTTTGCATTAGCAAGTCATCCGAGATGATGAATGACTAATATTACATTTGATAAGAACATTTAATGTAGGTACACAAAGTAATCCAGTCCAGTAGTATGGCAGCAATCATTAAATTTATTTACTCTAGCATAATCCATATGAATGGAAGGCTTGCTGGAAGTCAACGGAAGTTGACTACATGGTTGGCGCAGTAACTGGGTGATCGGCTTCTGAACAACGTGTTGCGGGTTTGACTCCCGCGTCGGGTAAACAGTTATAACAGCATTTTCTAAGTAGAACGACCATTAATAGCTTGGATTCAGGAATTTTGGCGGTGTCTCCACCTCAGTGCCTCAAAAAGCACGTAAGATCATTAGTCCCGCTCCTGATATCTCTCCGGTCGTATCGATCTGCCATCTGTGTTTGCGCACACACTTGTGCACTATAATATCTCCTGGGTAGTGGGCTAGTCTAGTTAGGCACCATGATCGAAATCGATTGAGAGTTTTTATGTATTCATGGATGGCAGATAATAGAACTAATGTCAAACAAAATTCAATCTCAACGCAAAAATTTTGAATCGAGTATAATTGATTGAGTTGCCTCGTTGGCCGAGTGGTCGTAAGTGGGACTGCCAGGCAAGGGGTCTCGGGTCCGATTCCCGGGTCAGGCAAAGTATTACTGGATTTTTAAAAAAATTCTCAGTAGTAGCACGGAGTCTGGAAATGTGCCCGGTATATGGCAATAGGCTCACCCCCTATTACATGGGACTCATAACATAAATAGTGAAAAGTGGGTGTTACGTCTTTGTGCACACGTGACGACCATGGACAAGACTTCACTACATTTTAATGTTTTAGCTTTTTTTATTTTATTTTTATTTATTTTTTAATTATGTTATGTGTGTTTTGCGCAAAATAAATGGTTTTTCTTTCTTTCACCTCTGCCTACCCCGTCGGGGGTAAAACGCATGATATTATGTTTATATGTTTATTATTATGTATAGTTAATAATTTCAAACTCAATGATCTGTTTCAATTTCAATAATCTACCAGCACTTTGGTGAGGGCATAACCGCGTCACCCATCTAGTATTAATATCAATTAAGTCACCAATATAAGATGATTTGTCTCCAACTGTCAATTGTCAATTTGTTATCAATTTGCAGTCTAATCAATCCACTTGTCTATTGATAGGCCTCGCCCTTGATTTATCAATTTGTACAATAGCCTTGTTAATGAAATGTTCAGTATTGAATTGATGATAGTTATTGTTAAAACTTAAGTTTGTTATGAAGTAGTAAACATATATTATGTGTATGTAACAGAATCCTTACTATAATATTATAAATAGGAAAATGAGTTTGTTTGTTTGTTCCGCTTTCACGCCGTAACTACTAAACCGATTGCTTTGAATTTTTGCAGACGTAAAGTTAGAAGTCCGGATTAAATAATAGGGTACTTTTTATCCCGGAAAAATTTGAAATTCCCGAGGGAAAACAAAAGTATTGGTATAGATGGCGCTGTATGTATTGGTATGTCACATAGGCTACTTTTATGCTTTTGTGACGCGAGCGAAGCCGCGGGTATAAGCTAGTCTTTTACTAATTTGACAATATATTTGTGTCAATATTTGTATTATAAATTTCATGTAATATGGTCGAGTTTATTACCATAATTATGTATATTCAGCACAGTTAGATTCTTTATTAATATTGTTTTGAGCATAAATCCCAATGACACTTTATTTAACTCGTCGAGCACCGTATTTATAGACTCAATTAAAGAACAATAGGTTGCGGTCACCGGTGACCGCTTGGTGTTTGACAGTTTAATTCGAAAATCGGGCTTGAGATCCCTGACTCAGTTTTAATTCTTAAAACCAGTTCATCACAAAAGAACTATGATTTATTATTTACTGTTAAAAAAATTAGTTTAAAAATATATTTTTTTTGTTCACAGGCTGGTAAAGTATGTTTCATAGACTTCCAAGCGATGAGATACGCCAACCCAGTCACCGACATCATGTACTTTCTCTTCATATGCACCGACTCCCAATTCAGATCTGAACATTTTGATCTCCTAACAACAATTTACTATGACAATCTAAAAGTGTTCTTAAACAAATTCGACGTTAAGGCTGATGATGTTTATAAAAGGGAAGATTTTAATGCAGATATTGAAGAATTTCGACCCTATGGACTGTTGATTGCTATGGTTGAACTTCGAATTGTCACAATGGCTGCTGAAGATGAATCGATATTCAAAGGATCGAGGTTGGATTTGAGTATAGAGCCTACAGATGTTCCAGAAGATAATGAATTGCATAAGATCAGGGTGAATGATGTTGTCAAGGAGGCAGTTGATAATGGTGTACTGGATAAGCTTATAGAGAAAATAAAAATTTGATATTATTTTTACTTTTTATTCGTGTTTTTGTAGATTCGATTTGATAAGCACATTACTAAAAGTAGTATTTACTATACCAGTACCTATTTTTTACTGACTAACCACGCTTAATGTAGCCAAATGTTAACTAAGATAAATATAAAATATTACACTTTTTGATTAACATAACGACTTAATGAGTAGATAACTGCATAAATTTGATCTGAAATTTTTATTTTTATAGAAAACTATATTCAAATATTTATTAAGACTATAGAGATTTAATTTTATGGTTGCCTTTATGGGCAAAGGATCGATTGAGGTAATAAGATCAATTAGGTCGCCACCAACATATTACAAAAGGAGTAACTAAAATTAATAGTTAAAAACCTATAATTTATGTATAGTGTTATAAATCTTACCTATCGCCCCCAGTGCCGCCATAAGACGGCACACTGGAATCTCCAAACGAGGTTCCATAAGCCATGGAGCATGGTTCCATAACGCATCTCTCCGTATCTTCAGCAGGTTTAGGTCCCAAGCACTTGCTATCAGGCAACTTGGCTATAGTTCTACTAAACTCCAGGAATATCTTGCAATGGACCTCCTTCTTCCTCCATCCTTCGCCACAGGTCACACTGCATGGACCCCAGTCATCGTCTTTGATGTAACTACACATAAAAATAATGTTAGTACACGAATACGTTTCTTAATATTACGGGTTCAACACAGCAATTTAGGCCTCCAAACTTTTACATTTCAATTTTGTTTCTCATGCGTTTAATTTTGTATTTCATTTTCTTCACAAATGATGTTCCAAATTAATATTTTGAAGTTAATTAAATTACATTCTACCGTCTTTGTAGACTAGAGAACGATTTTATTAAAATTCTCACAAAATCCTAATTTGCTGTGTGCCAAGCCCAACCCTACGAAAGTCGCCCGGATTTTAAAAGGAAAAATTCTATGACTATCTATTGTAGATTCACACGGGAGCATTATAGGTCGACATGCGAGGTGCTACGGGCAACTATGTATCCTAATTAATTTCGGGCTGGTATATGTAGAAGTATGCACCAGTGTTAAATGTATAAATCACCCAATACCTGTAAATTCGAACACATTAAAAGTATATTTTCGAAAAAATCAATTCGTGTGTATCAATTTTGTGTTAGTTAGGTAAATGTTTGTGCCAATCGGTAAACGTGTAAGCGAGGAAACGTTGCAAGACAAACGGTTCGTGTTATATTATGTGCAAGGAAATATAAATCTTATGTGCAGTGCATAGAGTAGAAAAATAGAAATCAGAGCAGAGTAAAGTTGAGATGATGTGTGCGATGTTGGGTCAGTGTGAATTGAAATAATATGCTGTGCATACAAATTCGCTCATCAATAGTTGAGTGGGTTTGAAGGGAGGTTTCCTCTGTGTAGTGTCGTCCGTTTTAATATTTACAGAAGGGATGTTACGGATTTTATGTGATTCGTTTTTATAATAAGATCTGTTCATATCTGCTATCGGCTTGGGATCTCTCGGCCTTGTGTCTACGTGCTCCAAAGCAGTGCTATGTACATCTGTTACGTTCTGTTTGTGGTCTATTTCTAGATTTATTTCGTCGGCTGTATTATTTATACTTGTGCGTGCGTGTTGTGTTTGCAAATTATTTAATTTTATTTTAAAAACAATATTGTACAATATTAATAGGGATCAGATTGTGCTCTTTAGTCTTAGTGCTTCGACTGCAATTGAAATATCCCGCATCAATTTTCCTGTTACCTACTGTTTTTTTTTTTACTTTTTTTAGTGCTGTTTTCACACAATGTAAAAGCGTAATCTTACAAATTATGTACACACGTGAAACCTACACCGAATGTGAAAAGGATCACATAACATCATATAACATCACGCCTTTTATCCCCGAAAGGGTAGGCAGAGGTGCACATTATGCCACTGTAATGTAACACCCACTTTTCACTATTTATGTTATGAGTCCCATGTAATAGGGGGTGAGCCTATTGCCATATACCGGGCACAGTTCCAGACTCCGTGCTACCACTGAGAAAAACCCAGTAATACTTTGCCCGACCCGGGAATCAAACCCGAGACCCCTTGCCCGGCAGTCGCACTTGCGACCACTCGGCCAATGAGGCAGTCTGAAAGGATCACATTAGGCTAATTTCTAATTTGGCAACAATTTAATTGAAAGAAAGAAATCTCAATAACAACGCCAAGTTCTTGGAAGAAATAAATTTCAATTACCAACATACTTTAACCAGTCGCTTTATTAAACCAATGCTTCTGAAATTTGAGAAACGACTCCAAAATTTGTATACAACATTGTACCTACACTCGTGAACAAAATGTACAATTGTAACAAATTAATTTTATACTTGATACAGTAAATACAAACTTTGTTTTGTTTTATATTATTTAAGTAGGTCGCATAAGAATGTTTACAAAATAAAAAGTAAATAATTGCTGTCTAATCAAAACTGAATGTATTGACCAAGAACTCGTATTTGGTATTCTATTATCCCTAAAAAGACACCATGAAAATCTTCAAAACCATTTTCAACTGTACCGTTTTGTGTTAAAGTCCAAAGTCTATTGATTGGTACTAGTCCGGCTAAGGTTTGTATGAACACAAGAACATCGTTAATTGAAGTACGTTGCCCGAAACATTAACAAAAAGACCATTGAAGTGAACGTTTTCAAAAGCTTTGGGTTCATTAGCCAAATTCCTGTATATCTTCACTGTGATGGAGTTACTTCTGGTACTTTAATCATGGTAATAGGGTAGATGCTTATTTTTTATTTTAATGTCCGTCTGGTAGATTATTTTAAATCTTTAGACACGTATTTTTTATTTATTTTTTTCAGAAACAATTACTTTCGATGATATATTGATTTGAAATGTCGCATGACGTCACTTCTATGTACATTTTATACGTAGGTAGATATGACGTTTTAGCCCCCACTCCTAAACTTTGATTCGTTATATCTAAGTATCATTTTATTATACATATATCAAAATAAAAAAAATATGTGTCTAATATTTTTTCATTACATGACTGACGGACTACTGCCTGACGCCTAGGCGTGTGTTATTTTCTAAATTATCTGGCGTACATTTTTAAATTTCTCTATAAAGCAAACTTTGTCAATATAAACAAAAAAGAAATACCTAAATTGGTGTAAGTAATCATTTTTGAATTGTGCACTGTACATAAAAGGTGATTTATTTCTGTTTATAATTTGTGCAAATTTTGCCGTAACATCCCCATATAATATTCATCGTCACTACAATATCTAGACATCCCGGGAAGGGTTAGGTTGCCATAGACACTCAGGTTAGGTTCTAAAACGAACACTAGGAAACAAAAATTGAAGAATACGTCTTTAATTTTTTTAGGGTGAGATTATCCAAAACCATATTTTTGGAAGACCAGTCTTCTAACTCCATTGAAACGAAATAGTTTTATCGATGACATTTAGACCAATTTCAATTTTTTCTCAACATTCTGCCCCGATTCTGCTCTGGATTTACAAGTAAAACAAATAGTAATTTTAGATACAACCACTAAAGTAATAGCTAATATTGATAGTCGATTAATAATCTCACCCTTTGTAGCTAAAATTAAAGACGATTTTGGTAACACACAAGCCACAAACAGTCTACGAGCAAGAAGGGTCATAGAGAGGACGGGTAATGTCATTCCTTGTAAAAAATGTGTAATGTTTGAAGTGAAACCTTTAAAAACGTTTGTTATTATAGTTACAATACCTTACATATAACCAGCCACACGCAAAGAATATTTTGTAATTGCTGAAAAAACAACAACAAAATACTCTGAGCTTTGGATACAGACAATGGTATTAGAGATTTGAATTTTATTGTTATAGAAAATAAAATTGAAATTTCAATGGCACATGCTTTTTTTGGCGTTGATATTAGCATGGACGGATTTGAGGAAAAACTAGATACTAGCAGTGTGGAGGCAGTTGAAGTTAAAGTTGATGTTGATAAAGAAAATTATGGTTGACAAGATTACGTAGATTTTATTATAGGATTGAATAAAAATGAGAGGGCTAACAATGCTTATTCTAATCCTAGTATTGTTGAAAACTTAAATTGTAATGAAGATAAAGTTGGTGAGATCCCTTTACAAAGTCTTCATAAAGCCCATTTAATATTGTTGAAATTGAAATAATTGTACTGAGATTAGGATTTTGAAAACTTAAGAAATGTCACCTGTTTTTGTGTTTTGACTTTGACTTTATACCCATTTTTTATAAATATACTATAATTTTTTTTGTTAAAAAAACCCTACACTAGGATTTTTTTCTGTGTCGTGTGTGCGGTTCACATACACATGACACCCAGACCCGAAACAACAATTTGTGGATCACACAAAGTGTTGTTCCGTGCGGGAATCGAACCCGCGACACGTTGCACGGCAGCCGGTTGCCCAGCCGCCGCACCAACCGTGCAGTCTCTTGCACTTTGTCTTTGATACGTGCAGAACTTGACTTTGATACCCATTTTTTATAAATATTCTTATTTATAAGCTTCCTATTGTAATTAAATTCTTTGTAGACAACATACTCAACGTAGCATCCACTTCTTGCCAACTATGATAGAAGTCTCATGTAGGTCTAGCTCATAGCGGGTAAGTCATATTATAATTATCTGCTGAATTTAGACATACTATGTTTTTGTAAAGTTAAGAAAAATCTAGCAAGGAACATGTCTACCTAAAATTGTGTCTCAAATTCCCTGAAGAAGTCCCGTTTACATCCAGATATATTTTTAGACCCATTATATGGCTACTGGGGAGTGAGAATATCGATTTTGTACTCGACGAAAATTCTCGAAAATAGCTTAGAATTTTGCTACGATTCTATTAAAATTAAGTACTATTTTAATTAATTAATCATATTGGAATACAAACTAATAAACAAAGAGTGTCGTAGACTCATTCAAAATACTCGTAATATAATTAGTTACATCTAAAATGAATTTGAAACAAATAAAATACGAATATATTAGTCGTTTGTCGTTTGAATGATAATTTAAATCAAAGGCGTATACGTTAAATCACACTAATATTATAAATATGAAAGTTTCTCTGTTTAGATATTTGCCCGTCAAATACGCTGAGACTATACTGAACGGATTTTGATGAAGTTTGGTATACAGGCAGGGTATGGGCTGACTTAGGTGATAGGATACTTTTTGTCCCGATTAATTGCTCCCATTATAATTACACGGATAAAACAGGAATTAGTGTAATAAATTAGAGTTTCATATTACTTTTATATATGTATGTAATAAGTTTGTTCCTTTTTAAATATAGAACCACAATAGGACTTTTAAAAAAAGAAACCCAAGTGCTTAGAGTTATAATGTATAGTTCTTCTTCCAGATTAATAGATGGCGTTGCTTAAAAAAGTGTCGCCCACATTTATTAATCCTTTGCTCCGCGGGTAAAACATAAGTGAAGCTTACAGACTTTTCACACATTATTATAAATGTATGTACTTCTTCAACTTCAATACTTCGAGCAGAAAAACTTTTAATAGATCCTTTCATGATTCTCTTTTGAAATTCATATATCGGCTGAGAACAAGTTATTTGATATTTTCTTCTTACTTAAGCATTGTAATTGGCTTGTTACGCACGACTGGCTTTGGGTAGGGTCGATAATATGATTTTTAGTGAAATATTTATTTATTAATTACCTAGAAATTGTATAGTACGAGACTTTAAGTTCATTTTTTTGTTGTTTTTTTTTATACTACGACGGTGGCAAAAAACAAACGGCCCACCTGATGGTAATCGGTTACCGTGGCCTATGTACGCTGGCAATACTTGGGGCATTACATCATTCCCCAGATTATGACAAGTAATACGGTATTTTTGAGATCGCATGTGGCGAGTATGTTATTCAAGTTTAGTTCTTTTTTGTGTTCAGCATTTACTAGGAGAATTTTTTTTTTTTAATAATTTGCCTATTTGAAACCTGATACTCTGTGGTCAGGAGCCACGAACTCAGGACTGATTCAATGACTAGTAAGTAAACATTAAAATTATAAAAGATGACCTTGAAGTAAAGTATAAGTAATATAGAGGTAAGAATAATAACTATTTCAATGATCTTATTAGTATATTATAACGTTCGTGAGACATACTAAATTAGTTCCTATGTTTTTCGGTTTACATTTAGTCGCATCGCGACAGTCGCCGCGTCGTCTGTCAAATATGAGCCTCTGGCGTGGCCAAAAATAAGTCAAGTTCCTCGTCAAATAATTACGTAAGTAAATCAAAAACATAATAATATTATTTACTATATCTTGCGAAAGTTATAACATACCTAACCAGTTACAGCGCGGTATGGCACGACAAAGTAAAGGAACAGTAGAATCGCGAGTGTCGCCGCGTCGTGTATCGCGGAATACTACTCATGAATATGAGCTTCCAGCGCGACTGGAGGGCTCGTACATAAAACTGCGATGCGATGCGATGCAAATTCGCAACGAAAAAATTACGATGCGAATTGCTGCGATGCGATTTCGTGCGACAAGGCGTCTCCCAGGGTGACCATTCCTTCGACGACCGTCAATCGTACTAAACGTATTTTAAATTGAAAACTAGGTCGTGACATGGATCGTAAAAAGAAGTGTGCACTTCTGTTATTGCTTAAAAGATACAGGAAAAAGAAACAAAGAAGATTTTGGGGAAGATAAAATTTTGATGTGCGATGCGAATCAGTTCGCAAGTTTTTTCGCGAAGTCGTATCGCAGTTTTGTGTACGAGACCTACAACTAGTCGAGTTCCTCGTCCAACAGTTATATGAGTAGATCAAAAAACATAATTAATGTATTATCAATGACTTTATAAAAGATACAAAAACTAAGTTGCCTCCACACCGTTCTAATCTACTTGAATGAGTACTTACGTTGCTTCTACCGGTACATCAGGGTCTCCTATAAGACGCTCGGCCTTTGCTTGTGGCATTGGGTACGGCTGTATCAACGGCTGAGTATGGTAGACTACTCCTGGGAGCAGGTCCTCGATTTCATCCTGGAGATTAAGTAGAAGCTACAGTTTGTTTAAAATAAGTATGTTATAGGCTTCAAGACTTACTAATTTATAAAGATCATCTTTAAACATAATTATTATGAGGTAATAACTACTATAAAGATGATGAATTAAATTCAGTTCATCGCGTTCTTAGTTAATCTGACGTATGCTTATATTTTAAGAAATATTTGACTAAATTGTTATAAAAAACCGCAAATCCAGTTTTGTTCTCCAAATTAGGTACAGAGTAATCTCAAGATGTTACTTAAAATTACTTCGATGTTGACTAGCGAATCTTAAGCTAAGTTTAAGTTACTATGTCGAAACCAAAAGCTATTAATTGCTTAGTCAATATTTCAAATGTTTGGTAAATTACATACCTCGGGTTCGTCAGATTCCCTGTAAGCTGGGCAGCTGATGCCCGTGGAACATGGTCGTGATATTTCAGGTCTTGTGGCTGGGTCGCACCCGCCGCCAGAGGGCGTGCATTCCACTCCTCGAACTTGAACTCCTTCGCCGCATGACACTGAGCACTGGTGGAATGATTGTGAACGTTATTTTCTTGGAGTTATGGTGTTAATTGCAATGCGCTATAATTGTCCTTACAGTCGCCAAATTCATAAATACTTGACACATTTATTACTACGTATCATAAAATCATGCCTTTTACCCCCGTGGTGGTAGGCAGAGGTGCACATTACAGCACTTAATGCCACTGTACCATGGAACACCCACTTTCACTATTTTATGTTATGAATACCATGTAATAGGGGCCTATTATACCAGGCACAAATCCAGACTCCGTGCTACCACTGAGATTGTTTTTTAAATCCAGTAATACTTTGCCCGACCTGGAAATCGAATCCGAGACCCCTCGACCAACGAAGCAGTCAAATTTATTACTATGCACTATAAAATTCATCGAACAAACTTCAACACTGAAATATCTTAAACACGAAACCGTTCTAGGCTCAAACCTAAGTATTGTGGCAATCCCATTAAGAATTCGACACCCAAAGTCTAAGTTGAAACCAAACATTTTCAAGTGGAAACTATGCAGTCAATATAGAGACCACACGAATTAATGAGGCAGACAAAATTGTAATCACGAACTAACATGGCTGGAATACTCCACGTCTGAACTTGCCTAACAAGCTTTAAGTTTACCTAAGTTTCCTAGACTACGTCAATGCGGACAAATTAAAAAGACAGAGTGGAACTTTCTCTAATTGGAGGTAAGAAGACTTTTTATTCGGTCGGGTTTTAGCATTTTCTAATGGGACCTCTTTTTTGCTCGTTAGTTTTTGATAAAGAAATACGTATATTTGTATTGTAACTTTCGTGAGACATACTAAATAAATTATTATGTTTTCGGCTTACTCACGTAGCAATTCGTTTAGTAATATGAGCCTCTAGAATGGCTTGAAACTAGTCGAGTTCCTCGTCGAATTGCTACGTGAGTAAGCCGAAAACATAATAATTTATTTAAATACGTATATCTTTTTAAAATGTCAGTAACTCTGTCTGACAAAAATTATAATTGAAAAATGTATATGGGGCTAGAAGTTTTTAAAAAATATCATCACTACATCATATAAAACAAAGTCGCTATCCGCCGTCTGTCTGTCCCTATGTTTAAAACTATGCAACGGATTTTGATGCGGTTTTCTTTAATAGATAGAGTGATTGTTTGAGTTCATATGTATAATATATGCATACTGCACCCGTAGCCGGGGCGGGTCGCTAGTTAGGTTATAAATTACTGATTTCATCATTTTATCAGTGAACTTTGCCAACTTATAGTTGGCCTGAAAAAGAGGAATCTCTTTGCTGCCTACCTCTATAGGATATTAGAGGTGCTGCTCACGCCTTGTCACGTAGAAATTTCTTGAAAATAAAATGGATGATGTTTGAACCCTATATACTTATAGTTGGAACACGTTTTGACAAAAAATTGTAAACCAACCTGTACACACTATAGACGCATTAAAGTTATTTGATTTGTTGGTACCCTTGAAAAAAGGCGTCGCAGAAATAAGGTCTAAACTTAGCGATCAGCAAATATGAAACTTACTTAATAGTATATTCAAATTAAAGTACCAGTTATTCGCTTCGTACAATCAAGCTAACCCTATCAGCTATATCGATCTAAATAATATAATTTGTAGTTCTCGACGAAAAGCCACAACATCAAGGGCATCTAGGGTCGTTTCAGACCGTCCTAGGACTTTCAAAGTGACCTAAGAATATGTTAGATATACCTGATAATCTCCAAAAAGGTGAACAGAGGTGATCTTGCAGTGAACTAACTTTTTGTCAGTGACACTTGTATCTTATTTTTTGTTTGGAACAAGCCGTTAAACGAGGAAACGGATCACCTGATGGTAAGCAATCGGTGTCGCCCACGGACACCCGGAACACGAGAGGTATTATAATGCGTTACCAGCCTTTTAGAAACTTTACCGAATTTGAGGATTGTTAGGGATTCCGAGGAGATTGGGGATCCCGGCCCAATTCTAAATCGTATGGTCATCGCACACATTAACGGCACTGCTACGGCAATGGCTACGGCATTGCGTTTCTTGTTTCAAAAACAACGGACAGCCTACAGCAGATACAGATACAGATTTAACGTTCAAAGGAGACCGGCAAACTCCCATAGTAAATCAGGCCCTGACAAACAAAAATTAAATACTATGGGTTTTCAAGGACTTGTATTAGTGTAATTAGTTTTTGAAAGACCTTCAGAGATTCCAAATATTTCAGTTAGCAGTCAAGAAATGCTCCTAACATTAATTGTTCCCGGTTTTATGGGACCAGGTTTGCCGATCTCCTTGGTATGTCAAGATAATAGCTGGGTCGGAGTGGTGCCGTTACTATGTGTAGTCATCATTAGCTGTAAGGTCACGGCAGACTAGAGTACATTTGTCAATACCCATGGTAAGTGTTGCAAGCGTTCATAGGCCACTTACCATCGGTTGTGCCGTGTGATTTTCTGCCACAGTTGTGGTATAAAAAAGTAGTTTATCATTCTCATCATCAACAACCTATAAATATCCACTGCTGAGCAAAGCCTCTCACCACGCTTGCTCAATGCGGGTGAGATTTCAAACTTATAATTAGAAATTATAAGCCCAGGTTTCCTCACGACGTTTTTCATTCACCGTTTGTCAGTGGTGTCTAAATAATCTTAGAAAGTACATATAACTCGGTAAAAGTCACATTGGTACTTGCCGTTGGTGAGTTTTGAATCCGCACCCTCATGCATTAGAAGCAGGCGTGTTAAACCTCCGAGCCACCACGATACAAAAAGCAATTGAGAAATACTAATAACAGTGCGAAGCCGGGGTAGATCACTAGTTTCACATACAATGTACATCGATTAAAATAAATATAGCAGTCCCCAACAATGTTACGTAACACGTCTCCAAGAAATTGCATCGCCTGCACTCTACGTAAGTACAGAAAAGCAATAAAGTTTCGCACTAGACATTCTGAGAGTAGAATAGTTTATCGACAACATGAGCCGCTTACTGTACACTTTGTATCGGATTTATAAGTTGTGTGTGGATTTTTTGAACTTTGGATAATGTATGGATATGAGATGTGAATGCTTTTTATTTGTTAGTTGTTAGTTTTTGTTTAGAAAGTGTAAATTGAGTTTATACCTACGTATAAACATGATGTGATTTGTCTTGTCAAAACATTGAACTACCTTAAATGTGGGAGGGCCATGCTTCGGTACGAATAGGCTGGCTCGACCGGAGCGATACGGCGATACGACGGCCTCGCAGAAAACCGACGTGAAACAAGCCTTGCGTTGTGTTTCGTCGTGTGAGTGAGGTTACCGGAGGCTAAATTTCCCTTTACAGTCTTCCCCGATTCCTCCATAATCCTCAAATTCCCAATTATCAAAAGGTCGGTATAACAAAAAAAAAAAAAAAAAACCTAATTGACCGAAGCAGTCCGGACAATTACCAAAACAAGTCAAATATTTATACAATACTAAGCTATACTATCCTTGAACTATTCTGTGACACTCGATAAATTTCGAGGCATATTGGGGCTCAAAAAGTAAAAAAAATAAGTATTTATCTAAACAGTGTACTTAGTGTGGGAGAGCCATGCTTCGGCACGAATGGGCCGGCTCGACCGGAGTGATACCACGGCCTCACAGAAGACCGACGTGAAATAACGCTTGCGTTGTTTCATGTCCTGTGAGTGAGGTTACCGAAGGCCCAATTACCCACCCTCCTCCAGTCTCTCCAATCCCCAAATCTCCACAATCCTCAATTACCAAAAGGCTGATAACGAACTTGTAAAAAATTTTTTCAGTCCAGATAATTACCCAGACAAGGCAAATAATTATCATGAGATATTATACTAACTTTGAACTATATTGGGATACTCGATAAATTTCGAGGCACATCGGGGCTCAAAAAGTCAAACTAATTATGTATTTATCTAACCATCATTGTATTAAAATCTACAACTTACCCCAGACCAAGGTCCCGCCACCCAGATAGGACAGTCGTGTTGGTTGCACGGCTGTGTGGCGCGCGGCGCTGGGGACACGCAACCTGGCTCCGAATTTGTACCTAAGGAGACAATTCATTTAGAAAGAGTTAATTGAAAGCCGTCCTTTTGCAGATCAGTTAAATATGTTTTCACGGTTGTATCTACTGTAGATTCTGGCTTACAGGAGTTGCAGCGGTTTTGGGAGGTTGTGGTGGGCTTGTCCCATTAAAAAAGATCAGTTAAGTAAAGTTGCCTACGAATGCCTCGTTGGCCGAGTGGTCGCAAGTGCGAGTACCAGGCAAGAGGTCTCGGGTTCGATTTCCGTGTCGGGCAAAGTTAAACTGGGTTTTAAAAAAAATACTCAGTAGTAGTAGCACGGAGGCTGGAATTGTGCTCAGTATATGGCAATAGGCTCACCCCTATTACATGGTACTCATAACATAAATAGTGAAAAGTGAGTGTTACATTGTTTGTGCAGTGGCAAGTGCCGTAGGTGGTTTGCACCTTTGCCTTCTCCTTCGGAGATAAAAGGCGTGATGTTATATTATGTTAAGTCTCTTATAGAACTTTCCATTAAAGAAATGCTGCAACTACAACCACAACTTTACAAACTTTGGGACACTAGCATCTTTATATGGATATACCAGTACCGAATTATTTTACTGGTCCAATTATTTTAATACTAATACAAGTAGGTGTACATGTGTATACTGACCAGGTTCATAGGTGTCAGTCTTGGTGACGTTGGCGGACCGCGCGCAGAGCACGCGCCGAGAGCGCACGCCGCCGCCGCACGACACGCTGCACGACGACCACTCGCCCACGTACCATCTGTAGGACCATACGACACAGGTCAAACTGAGTAAATCCGTTTTTTAATTTGTCCTATGTAGCTTACTATCTCGTACGATTCAGCGATTTCGTCGCACGATGACATTTTAGGGAACAGAGGGTATAGTTCCCTAAGATCGGAAAAGGAGGATCCTCCGACCAGGCGAGGTGATCGTGCCTGGCGGGCTTTCTGCCCAACAGTTGTTCGTTTGGATTTTCTATCCGTGTTAATTCGCATGTAAACTTTGCATGTGCGATGTAGGATTTTTGTGACGTCATCAGTTGACATGTGGCATGTGTCGCCACAACATTAATAAACACATTTCTTTAAAGTCTCCTAATTGAAGCTTGCAAATCATCGGCCGAATACAGGGTGACGAATTCGTCTCGTTCAATCTTTGTTATGATGGTTATCCAAATAGGACGACGCCTGAGTGTAACAAACGCTTTTCTGAGACCGAATCGCAACATAATGGCGCACAAACATACCTACAGGTCCAAGTAGGTGAGTACCTCCTTTTTTGAAGTCGGTATAAAATATAGGTACATAAATACATAGCGTAGGTATTAAATCCAAATAGTGCAGCTCGTAGATTTTCCTTACAACCGCTAAGGAACCGTATATTTCAAGGAAGTAGCCAAGACGAATACATTTATCAGGTCAAATCTATTAATTCTAGGAGAACGTAAGCATTTTTCTCAACTTAGGTACTTGAATCGACCGGGAGTAGCAGACATCCTAACGGGTTTTTTTAAGGGGGGAAAATCATCGAATGAATGCTCCCGCCTGGGTGAGGCGGGAGGGAGTGTCAGACTCTTACTGACTAAAAACCACCCCGTTCCTTCTCCTGCACGTCGAGCCGGAGCCCCGGTTACCCGTTAGGTTCTCCGCGACATCCTAACGGGTTACCGGGGTTACAGACATAGATAGGATTACAGAAGTCGGTTAAAAACATCACTTACTTGAACGGACATGGATGTGTGTTACACCTGACGACTGACGCCTGGGGCTTGCTGGAGGCATCGCACAGCTGTTCTGGAGCATCAGACCCTGTGAGGCGGTCACGGCATACTGCTAGCGACATCTTGTAGCCTGGAACAAAAGATAACCATTGGAATTTTTGTGGCTTTTAAGCAGTGTGGTAGGTAATCGTAAAGAAGAATACATTTTACCACCCCGACTCTTACCGTGGGTGTCTTATACCCGGTTATACATCTTGACAAAGAATGAACAGTAGCCCTTTGTAATATAACTAAACATGTTAAATAAGCTGAAATCTCCAATCTAATTGCCAAGTTTGGAGATCATGATAAACCCCGCTTAGATAGAAGAGGCTCATAGTTTATTAGTGGACTGTTTATTATGATGTTGATAAATCAAAACCTCAAAACCTAAAAGACCAATGTTCAGTTTCAATACTGTAAAGATCTAATTTCATTTCAGACGTAAATACAAATCATTTTACAAATTCAGAGCGACTCCTTCAGGCTACTTAGATTAATAGTCCAGTTTCGGAGCTGGTCTATTAAATATCAAATCTACTGACAAATTCAATGAGATCTATTATGATTGGTTGGAGTAACTGGCCAATCAGAGTATCTGGTACGTCAAAATAAATAATTCGGAGTCAGTTTGTGAATTTGAATTTAGAATGCGAATATTGTTTTATTTTTTATTTGACGTATTTAATTGAAGGTTTTATTACATTCTTGAATTGGGTTATTTTGAAATGTTTTATTGATATCTAAACTAATGTTTTGAGAAGAAAATATTTGATTTTGTGGGTTCTAAAATTACATACATAACATCACACTTTTTATCCCCCAAGGGGTAGGCAGAGGTGCACATTACGGCACTTAAAATGCCATTGTACAATGTAACACCCACTTTTCACTAATATTTATGTTGTGAGTCCCATGTAATAGAGGGTGGGCCTATTGCCATATACCGGGCACAATTCCAGACTCCGTGCTACTACTGAGATTTTTTTATAACCCAGAAGTACTTTGCCCGACCCGAGAATGGAATCTGAGACTCGTTGCTCGGCAGTCGCGATTGCGACTACTTGGCCAACGAGGCAGTCAAATAGACGATATTCTTCAATTACTTGAGCTACAAACGTTTACTATTACAAAACTTTTTTCGCAAGTAACGTGGTATTAACATTGTACCATAGCTAAATATTTTGTTTTATTAGCGTTCCCCCCCACACTAGGATTTTCTCCTGTGTCGTGAATGCGTTTACAAACATACAAGTTCACATACACATGACACCCAGACCCGGAACAACAATTTGTGGATCACAAAAAAAGTTGCTGTGCCCTGGAATGGAACTCGCTACGTGCAGTAAAAAATTGGGAGTTGACTATAAAATTTCAAATATATATCGGAGGAAGCTGGGAGTTAATTGTTACTTGCATTGCATAACGCACATTCATTTTTATTTGTTTTATATTCACTTTTTAAAATGCCTAAATTAATTTTAATTGATTTGTCACACTTAAAATTCTTAATTTGATTTATTAGAATTAGTGATAATTTGAATTTGACTTCCTAAGTAACGACCAATCAGAGCAGAGCGCGCGCCTCGAGCGGGGTCGAGGCGCCATCTTACTGATAAAAAGAGAGATAGTTTTGGCGGGAGAGCATGAATTAGCCATCGGTCGAGGCGGATCGTTTATGTAATTTTACTGTAAGATCGGTGCCCTGAACCCGCTGCTCAGTCCTAATTATTAACTTTTCTTTTACGTTATTGTGAAACAGATAAAACTATTGTTACTATCTAAATTAAAATAGTGTTTATTGTGATCGTTGTGTTTTGTGCTCGCATTTTATCCTCATGACGCCCACTAAGCCCGCAATCACTAATGACGATGTCGGCGATGACAATGTTTCTCCGACATATATATATATTTTTTATCGTTACTTCATTCGAAAAAAAAGATATACATCAGCGACAAATAATATAGTTTCTATTAGATATAAAAAAAAAATATCGAAAGAGATATGAGGATTCTATTTTCAGCGGTCTGTACATTTCAAGGACGTCTACATAGACGTGTATTAAGAAATTATTTTTTCAAAAACTAGTAAATAAAATTAGCATTCAAAGAAAACAATATTTCACACACAATGAAATACATCCAGAATAAATTTTAAATGTGTAAGTTTGTGTGTATGTTTGTTTATCTATCTTTTAAACTGTCAAACACCAAGCGGTCACCGGTGACCGCAACCTATTGTTCTATAATTGTGTCTACAAAACCGGTACTCGACGAGTTAAAGCAAAATAGGGGAGCAACTAATTGACATAACCTTTAACTGAAAATAGTAGAAAGGATGAACGGTGAGATAGGCTACTTTTTGTCCCTCTCTAACTCCCCACTTCTCTAAAATGAGAGGTAAATGTTTACGTGGAGCATTCATATTTTCTAGAAAACTGAAAATTGGTATACGTCTGCATATTATTTCTGACTAAAAAAAATGTATACCTAGCATATTTTTTTTGAAAATGCCGAGCGATGCCGAGTGGAGATCTAGTACACTCTAAATAATAAACAAAAACAAACTCAACACAGAGAGATCTTTCGTTAGCCTATCCGTTCAAATTTAATATTTTCGTGTCGAAATTAAAATGGAGGTTAGTCCCGCCCTCAATTTCCCTGGAGGTCAAAAAAAATAAAGTCGGACTAAAATTACAGCCAGCTAACTCAACATAGCTACATATTTATTGTACTATGTTATTAATACCAGTGACTGACAAAAGGGCTGACTTAAATTCCACCTTTCCACCTCGATATTCAGTAGAGTACCACTTTAGCTTTCCAACAAAATTAGGATGTACAAAGTTATATTTGTCCAAGCAGATGAAAATATATTCAGGAGCAAAGCCAAAGTATCTCGCAAAATTAAATTTCTGTAGCTCGGATCGACAGCTTTTATTCCTTGAATGAAAGACCAAACTTTAAATGTCCCGCGTCTTGTATTAAATTTTGGAGCCCGATTAAATACGGACCTTATTTATGTCACAATAAGAATCTTCGTGAAAAGGACAGATAGGAATTTTGTTGAATTAGCAAAATTTTGCTTATGAATTTCTGAAGATAAAAAGCAGAGATATGTTACACAAATTCGGACTCAAAGGTTGCTGTGTTGTAGTTCAAAATTACGAAATATAAATCTGAATATGCTAGTTAGTCTCTCATAGGTGTAGGTGCTCATTCGAAAACGTAGATTCGTTAGGGGAAAATTGCTGAGTACGAGCTATAGTGAGCTTTGTTAATATAACA